AAAAAAAAAAAAAAAACTAAACTTATGGAATATTTGTATTGATTATCTTTTAAGAATAGTCAGGTATGATTGAATTATAAGTGCACCGTTAATTTTACTGGCTAGGTACCTTTAAGCTGCAGTAAATGCTTTTAAAATAAAAATCTAAATGACCTTCATTATACAAAAATAATAAGCTGTAGTTTCTACAAACCGGTTATGTGTAGTATACATTATTAATTAGAATCAATTATTGTTTAACTAATTATAGGTATATATAGGTAGTGAGACGTGTTGTACGTCAAAAGAATCGCTCTGTAAACTCATAATGGATAATTTAATATTTAGCTATTTGATAACGTTATTATAATACATGCTCAGGTATGTCCACGAGTTTCGTGTAATATTATAATATATTAATATTGAGTTTTTAAATTGTATTCAATATTATATGGACAGTATTATAAGTAGGTACTTAACGCGAATCGTCCACGTAACCAGAGATCCAAAGTTTGAATATCTACGTAAGTAGTCTGCGCACACCAGGACGGCGTGATATAATGCGATTAAAATAATTAAATTTAAGTAGGTACTCATCACGAATGAATTATTATTTATATCATAAATAATCATAATATTATTATTATCATGACGAAATACGCACAATTTATGCAAATAACAGTGTGCACAATAATGCGTGTTTGTTGTTTTCATGTAGTACCTTGACCGAGTTTCAGGCATGTTTTAAATGATGTTAACTGCAGGGYGGCATTTCAGTAAAATGTTCTACTATAGAGGAGCTACAAAGGTATAGGCGAAACCAACCTTTGAGTCTCATTGAGTATTTGATAAACATAAATAACTGAGTTTTAGCATATATTATAGCGTACCACAGTTTTGTCAAACATACGGTATATATTATTATTTTGTCAGTTACTGCGTTAGCAGCCAAAAATCGTTGTAATACTGAAATATTTTATCCAGTTGAAAATAATATTCTTTTTTTTAAAAATTTTTATTGTATACCTACCATCTAAATGTTTCCAAGTACAACACTAGAACGTTGCAATACGTTTTGATGCTTCATAAATATTGATGTTTTCACCAATCAAACTGCACGTTGATGCGAGTTATTAATTWAAGTCTCTTTTTATAACTGTGTATAATAATTATTAATTTTAAACTAAATTCATAGAGTGTAATATATTACAATTTAATACACCCAATCGTCGCCATTGCGATTCCCCGTGGCCGGGTCGTCGTCGCGTTCAGTAGCATCTCAGTTCCGGCGGCCGCAGCCGACCAGCACAGCGTCGCCCATCGGTGACTACTATTCCATACGGCCAGTGGACGTCAACTCGATCGCGGCCACCGCGAACGGAGGAGACGGCGACGACTGCACAGACGGCGTTCGTCGTCGTCCACCGTGGCCA